TTGGCCCAGGTCGAGTCTATCTCTGCCGCGGTCACGCGCCGCCTATATGAGTTGTTGGTCCACGCTGACGCTCAGTGAGATATTTATAAGGGTTTGTAGGAGGCAGGGACTGTCTTAGAGGCCACCTTTGAAGATGCCCGGGCAAAGGCACGCGAGGCTCGCGCTACTTGTGGATATGACCCTGCGACTCCGGAGGCTGGGGAGGGCATCGACAACGAGGATGAGCCCCCTTCTGATGATGATGGTGATATCGGGGAGAACAACGGCGGAGATGATGCGGAGTGAGGCTTTTGCCGCATCCTATGTACTTAGTTTAGTTTTCTTTTGTTCTTTCGTTGTTTACTTTCTTTTCCCAAGGGCCCGTTTCGGCCCTTTGTAAGGTGCTGTTGTCGCGCGTGTGTATTTTAATAAAATAGTTGTTTCGCCCTCATTTGTGTATCTTTTGATTTTCACTGTGACGAGCCCCTGACTCTTTTGGTTGTGAATTCGAATTTGCGTGTTTGGGCGAGGTCGAATTTAAAGTCGCCATATTCGGGCGGGGTCTATTTTTGATATATATTCGAATAAGGTTGAAATTATAACCAGTCGTAAATTCGAGCGAGGTCGAACTTTTCTGTTGGTGAAAGCCAATGGCCGTATGGGTGTTATTTCGAGCAAGGTCGAAATTGTAACCAGTCATAGATTCGAGCGAGGTCGTATTCTCTTTTGGCGAAGGCCGATGGCCGTAGGGGTGTAGATTCGAGCGAGGTCGAAATTGTAACCCGTTGTAGATTCGAGCGAGGTCGAATTCTCTTTTGGCGAAGGCCGATGGCCGTAGGGGTGTTTTTTCGAGCAAGGTCGAAATTGTAACCCGTTGTAGATTTGAGCAGGGTCGAATTCTCTTTTGGCGAAGGCCGATGGCCGTAGGGGTGTTAATTCGAGCAAGGTCGAAATTGTAACCCGTTGTAGATTCGAGCGGGGTCGAATTCCCTTGTGGCGAAGGCCGATGGCCGTGGGGGTGTTATTTCAAGCAAGGTCAAAATTGTAACCCGTTGTAGATTCGAGCGAGGTCGAATTTTCTTTTGGCGAAGGCCGATGGCCGTGGGGGTGTTATTTCGAGCAAGGTCGAAATTGTAACCCGTTGTAGATTCGAGCGAGGTTGAATTTTCTTTTGGCGAAGGCCGATGGCCGTGGGGGTGTTATTTCGATCAAGGTCGAAATTGTAACCCATTGTGTTATCTCCGTTGGGGAACATTACTCGTCGTCGTGCTGTTTACGTGTGCATCGGGGCAAATCTTGGTTCGCTTAACTTCGCTTTCATTTGGAGAGTACTGTGCGTTTTCCTACGTGAGTCCCAGTTCGCTCAATTTTGCTTTTATTGGAGAATGCCGCGTGTTTAATGGAGAGTTCCAGTTTGCTCAATTTTGCTTTTAGTGGATATTGTTTTCCGATAGTTGATCTGTACTGTGCCATTTCCGTATTTGTGATATGCTGCGGCTTGGGGGGTTTCGCTCGGTCATTACTTGCGAGATGGCATGCTATGGAACCATTTTCTAGGGTGTTTTAGCGGCGTTTGTCCCTTGTTTGCATACCTATGCAAGTGTTCGCGTTCCTGTTTCGAACCAAAAAGAGTGAAAAACCAAAATGAAATTGTATGTTACCTCGGCTTAGCAAGCCGATGAAGGGAGGAGCGGCGTTGTAAAGTGACACGCTCCGCCTAGTACTTGAATAGTGGTTTCTGATTTGGTAGCCACATTTAGCTTCGCTGTCTAACTGCGTCTAGACTCCCCGTGTGTTGGGCTTACCTCACCCGTTGGGATATCGGGGCCGAGTCCCAGTCCGATATGCGTAAACAAAGGGGAAAATGTCATGCTCTGTTTATAAATCATCCAGCATGCGTGATATGAAATTAAGGCGAGATATGCCTGGTCTTTCAAGGGGTTATGCGGTAGGTTATCATCCCTTCCTCAGGGGTGGAGGTACAGGTCGGTATACAAGGAGAATACACCGCGTGGGATCGCGGTTGTGCCAAGCACATAGTGACTGTGGTTCTACTTAAATTGTGTACATGACTCGCTAAGCCTACCTTTACAGGTGGGGCATGGGTCTCGTATAGACATCGGTCATGATTTTTATTTTCTGTGGAGATCTGACCTAGATTGATACGGTTATTTCAAGAACTTATCTACCATTGTATTTAGGTTGGCGTTGTCATCGAGATGGTGAGGTTGTAACAGCCCGGAAGTAATTGCTTGGCTGGTTCTAGATCTAAAGGAAACTAATGAATTTGACTAAGAAATCCCCACAGACGGCGCCAAATTATTTGACCAAAAAGTATTAAACCTTTTAATTAAACTAATTAATGATAAAGTAGAGGGTAAATCTTAGCCAAATATAATAAACTTTAGATCTAAGCATAATGGGCATTAAAATCAAAGAGATCTAGTTCATACAACATATCTTAGAATGAGTGAAAGACATAAAATGTAAATAATAAGCTTACAACTTCAATATATTGTTCCATGTTTGTAAAAGCAAAGAAGACAAGGGATGAATCCTGTTGATAACTATGGGATCTAGCTTTATTGATTCAACAATGGAGATTACAAAGTTTTTTCACCTGGAATATAGACCACTTCCTTCTTCCCTTGGAGATCTTTTCCGTGTCTTCTGTCCTCCCCCCCCCCCCCTTCTCTGCTTTGCCTTCCTTATATATATTGTCAATTTCCCCCTTTATCCAATGGTTCTTGACCAGCGTGTACTCTCACGACTGTGTTCTTCCTCACTCGCCCCAATATTACGTCTGCCGTGTAAGCCTTCTGATGGCCTGATCTCAGCAGTAGCCGAGATACTCATCGCCATTACGCCTCGTGGGCACGACCATGGCTTGGTCGACCTCTTACCGTTCCTTTTAAAGATAACCATCTGATGGTCAGATTTTGACCCATACATGAATATTATTTCAATCTTATTTTGTTAAATTTTTGTAAAGTAGATATATATTTAGTAAAAATTAAAATAATTGACAAACATATAACTATTAACATATTCTTATAGGAGAATTTTCTTAACAACATATGATTGTTATTTTTTAGTCATCTGACAATAATTTTTCTTTGATGTACACTTTCAAGGTTAACTGAATTTAATAATTAAACATAAAAATTAATATGACACTTATATAATGATATGTTCTATTTAATTTTAAATTGTCGAAATATCATTTCTAATTCGAAAAAGATATAAGAATTTAATATATTTTGACATATGAATATGGAAGAATAAAGAGATTGACGCATTTCAATGACACTTGATAAGAAAGTGATCATACAACCTATTATTTAAAGTTAATAGACATAGAACACTTCATATTTAACTAAATATTACATCTCATAAGAGAATCACAAATATTTCTAGATATTTCTTAAAGAAAATTCTATGAAAATTCTTAAAAGTTTATATCGGGAAAAGGGCCAAATATATCCCTCTATTTTCGGATATTGTCTATATTTAACCTCCGTTATACTATCCGGCCAAATTTATCCCTACCATCAGCAAACTTTTAATAATTACCCCTCAATCCGTCAGGTGACCCAGAATCTCCCAAATTATTTTAATTAAGTCACTTATTCTTATCTTAATCCACTATTTTAAGAAATTACTATTTATGTGAATGCTAAAGGTACTAGACTATACATATTATTCATGGATTTTTAAATTGCTAATGCCCACTTCTTTTCTTGTGATAATGTGTTTGGAATTGGTTTAAAATTTTATTTATTTTTCAATAATATACACACCGTAGAATTCAATGGGTCTATTTATTGTGTATTATATACAAATGATCACCGTGTATGTACATGTATATTCGAATATATTTTGTTATTGTCTGGTTAGTATAGAGTTCGATCGACTAACTTAAAAGTGTACAATGCGTAGGCATTTAATTAAAGCAAAGTTGAATCCGATAGTGTAAATTCTCCAAGGAACTTTAACTTCTATCACTAATACTTGCAAAGTCTCCATACCTTTGGTGCAGCAAATTCATTAAAGTTGGGATGTTGTAAATACTTTTGGAATTTAGACAAGCTACCTAATTTAGATTCTTCAATTTACTATACTTTATTTAATAACCGTTGTATTATTTTAATATTTCTTTCTCTTATTTTTTGTTTCAATTAAAAAAACGTGTAAATTGCCAAATATTTCAAAAATAGTGGAACAAGAAGAAGAAGAAGAAGTGATTTAATTAAAATAATTTGGGAGATTCTGGGTTACCTGACGGACTGAGAGGTAATTTTTAAAAGTTTGCTGATGGTAAGGGTAATTTGGCCGGATAGTATGACAGTAGGGATAAATTTGGGCGAATAGTATAGCGGAGGTTAAATATAGACAATATCCGAAAGTAGAGGGATATAGTTGGCCCTTTTCCCTATAAAAATTATATATTTATATGTCGGTTTGGTTCGAGTTTTGTTTACTCTATACCAAACCAAGTCAAACCAAACCTAGTCGAGTCTTTTAATCGGTTTGATTTGACTTTTCGGTTTGGTGCAGTTTTTCAATTCGGTTTGTACATCCCTAAGTGAAACCACAATGAATTGGGCCGGGTTTCAATTGAATCCTATTCCTCGGAATAATAAGGCAAAAATAATTTTCTTTTATATTTATATAAACTTTTGAATATCCTTGATATAAGGGGAAGTTTTCATTATAGTGGGGTGGCAAAGGCTGTTTTAAATAGCATGTTCGAATTTTTTTGAATCTCCTTGTCAAACTAACTGGTTTCGCCGTGGGCTCATGTTTATTTGTTTAAAGTTTAAACCAAATAAAAAAAAAAGGCACTCCTATTAGTTTCATCGCTCAATTTTTATGACTGGAAAATTTTAAAAGTCATCCTTCTATATGTTTTTTCCTATGACGAGCTCCGAGTCTTCTATATTCCCCACACTATAAATCAATTATGACGATCATGCTATAAAAAAATAGTTCAAAAGGAAAAGAATGTGTTCTGTACACATTTTACCTACTGCAGATATGTTCACATGCTTTATTTAAAAAATAAGAAAAAAGAACCATTTTGATGTGGAAAGAATAACAGAAATGAAAATTTGAAAAAGAAAAAGGATAAAAACAGAATAACCGCAAAGATATGAAGGCGTTGGCGCGGCATCATCTAAACACAAATACAGAGGTCCCCCATACAGCGCAGTAACTTCAACTCTTCTCTTTCCTTGAGAGTTGAGTCACGCAACTTTTCCCTCCTCCGCTCTCCTCTCATATCTTTTTCAAGCAAACTCAAAACGGCCAACTGTTTCTTCAACCAACGCCATTGATGAAGGTCTTGTACTAGCAAATCAACACCTATACCACCATATTTGTGTTGTTGTGTTTGTGTGTGTGTGTGTGTGTGTAAGAGAGACAAAGACTAGAGAGCGCAATAGGCATGTGATTTGTGATTTTTTACTTCATCTGTATGTGATTCTGAACCCTAGTTTTTACGCATTTTGGCCTCGCAGATCATCAATTTCACCATCAATTTTAATTTTCCAGCTACTCTGTTCCTTGCGGTTACTCTTCTCTTTGCTTGTTCCGAAGCTCTCAAGGTAAGCAAACGCCAATGCCTTTTTTATCTACGTCTTTTTGCTTAATTTCTCGATCGTGTTTATGATTTATACTTCCGGTAACAGCAAGGACAGAGCTGCATCGCCAATGGCAACTGTGATTCAGGGCTACATTGCGAGACTTGCATCGCAAATGCCAATGTCCGTCCCCGTTGTACTCGAATTCAGCCTGTCAATCCTCTTTCTAAGGTATTTTTTCAAACAGATTATGATTTTCGAAGAGTTACCTGTACTGTCTATTGATGTATCACTGGAATTTCTATATAAATGATTATTGAATGTTATTTTGAATTTTCATTGTAAAAGATTGAATAAAATTGTAGGTGAAAGGATTGCCGTTTAATCGGTACTCATGGTTGACAACGCACAATTCTTTTGCCAAACTGAAAACGAAGTCCGGGACAGGAAGTGTAATATTAGCTCCACTGAACCAGCAGGACTCCATAACCGAACAGCTAAATGTAAGTTTACTAACTAAACCCTACCGCTTCCTTCAACCCTACAAAAAAAAGGGAGAAAAAAAGAGATGGATGTTGAACAGCATTCGGACAAATTATGTTAGTAAATATGCTGGGAGAAACTGTCCTTTGAATCAACTATGAGATAATTGTTAATTGCATTGGGAATTGTTTATTTTTCTATATATCAAAGTTCTTGAGGTATTATTATTCTTATTGCTTTTATTATTTTGTAATTAATTTATGTCTCTGCGTGGCACATGGCTAAGTTCCAAAGTTGAGAGAGTCAGCCTTGTATGAGTTGTTAGCTGTTGCTGCCTCTTATTGATTTTTGTGTTGCTATGCAATTTGGTACGTGGACTTCATTATATTATGCAACGTTAGGCATGGGCTAGAAAAATGTCAGATTTGAAGGAATGTCACAGAGGAGAGAGATTACTTTTCTCTCTACATATACTACTTATCTGAATTTGTGAGTTACTATTAGTGGCTGTTGCTAATAATTAAAGTAGTTTTTGGCCCAATGCTACCGTTTTGTTTTGCAAGGATTAAACTAATAATTAAAGTATTTTTTGGCCCACTTCATTATATTAAAGAACTTGTGAGTTACTACTCATTTGTTTTCTTCTGCGATTTGGTTAAGAATGCGTTGGAAAGCTTTATTTGCTGATAATGGGTGAGGTTCTCTTTAAGGTAAAGTAGGTGGGTTGTGACTGCTTGCTTTCTTAAGCAGACAACATCATTAATTGAATAAAGATAAGGTTCTTTTAGCTTCTGAGTCCTGGCCGGACTTCTTTTTCTCTAGCAGAGCTATCAACTAGGTTTTGTTGGCTCATAAATATTGTGCAGAACACCCTTAGTCGGTTAGTCCCTAGTTCGATATTCAAAACAATTCATCAAAGGATGAAGGTAGGGTATAAATAGGATATTAAGTTCACCTACCTATGTGTTGGGAAGCGTGTGAGGCTAATAGAAACAGAAAAATATTTAGAAGAGAAAAGCAATAAATTGTACAAGACAAACAAGATTTATTTGGTTCGGCAATTTTTACCTACTCCACAGCCACACAAAGAATAACTCTTTATTGAAGAGAAAGAAGAAGTTGAGGGGATGATCTGCAAATGAAAGTGCAGACCCCTTTTATAGGCATACCGATGTAAGCGCTTAGATCATAAGAATGCCGACGTAAGCGCTTAGATCAGCATTCTTATGATCTAAGCACTTATGTCTGCATTCTTATAATCTAAGCATTTACGTCAACATTCTTATGATCTAAGCGCTTACGTCGGCAGGGTATTCAAATGCCTATAAAAGAAGTCTGCATTTTCCAGAATCCAAAATCTTTTCCATTGAACTTGTCAATCTTAACTTTCCTTTCTTTTGATGCCATTTTTCACAAAAAAATAAATAAATTATGTCAATAGTGCCTGTACCAATACCGTACTTTTCTACCAGAAATACATTATTTGTGCTCTGATACCAGTTGTTGGGAAGCGTGTCAGGCTAATAGAAAGGAAAAAATATTTAAAAGAGAAAAACAATAAATTGCACAAGATAAGACAAGACAAGATTTATGTGGTTCGGCAATTTTTGCCTACTCCACGACCACACAAAGAATAACTCTTTATTAATTGAAGAGAAAGAAGAAGTTGGGGGATGATCTACAAATGAAAATGCTGACCTTTTTTATAGGCATTTGAATGCCCTGCCGGCGTAAGCGCTTAGATCATAAGAATGCCGACGTAAGCGCTTAGATCATTAGACTATGCACACGGTGGAAACTAAAATATCAATCCTTATCTTCCCCTATACCTGCATAGTATTAAAATTTCATCCTCGCCTTTGTGTTTTTTCCTAAAACTGTCGCTAAGTGCAGATAGATAAATAGAAAAGAATCATTATACCTACAAATATATATATAAATACAAATAAGGCAATAGGATTTTTACATACAAAGTAACGTAGAACTATGAACATTTGAATTTTTTTGAATATAATCTTCACCTATTCATACCCGTAGTGGGTACCACAATTTTAACATTTAAGCTCTCAGCACTTACCTATTACCATTGTTCTCAAAATACACTTTACTTTGAAGTTGAATTGGTGCTAATATCTAGGGATCGAACAAAGACTGCCAATCCTACATTTCTCCAACACTTAAATATTGACTTGACTTGATTCTTTCTGCTTCAGTCCATTTGTTTTTGACTTAATTTGATTCTTAGTGTTTGATGACTCATATAAACGCTAAACGTGTCAAAAGTGTCATGACATTTTGGTGAAATTGGCTGTCGCAGAGAAAATGTAAAACACTAGTGTCTGCAATATCTACTTTTTCCTACTATGTGCTTCTCTATTAAAATGTTTGAAATTTGTGATTTAGAAGACATGAACTGCTAGCTCTGACGGGTTTTCAAATTGTATATGTGGCTGCTGATAAGCTTCTTTTCACATGAATTGGCACAGAATGGTGTTAGAGGTTTAATGCTTGATATGTATGACTTCAACAATGACATCTGGCTATGTCACTCATATGGAGGGAAATGCTACAACTATACAGCTTTTGTAAGTTCTCATGAACCAGTTGATGTATCACTAAATAACTTCCATACGTTTGGCACGTTTACGGGTATGAAGTTGTTCCTACCTTTGGCATAAAAGCCATTCTCGTCCTTGGAAGCTTTGTGGAAAAGTGGATATAACTTATTTCTCCCTCTTTTACATGTAATTTCAGTAATATTCATGAAAGTTTTGATGGAAATTGGAGAAGAATTGTTTATCTTCTCATTGATCTGCAAAATTCTAGCTTCTTATCAGTTAAAGTTGTTTGCTTTCGAAGCTGATGTGGAAATTTTCTGTCAGCAACCTGCAATCAATGTCTTGAGGGAGATAGGAGTGTTTCTTGAAGCAAACCCTTCTGATATTGTTACAGTCATAATTGAGGACTATGTTAGATCTCCCAATGGCCTAACAAAGGTGTTTGATGCGGCTGGGCTTAGAAAATTCTGGTTTCCAGTTTCTAGGATGCCTAAAAATGGTGGAGAATGGCCAACTGTAGATGATATGGTCCAGCGCAATCAGCGATTGGTTGTCTTCACATCTAAGTCTGCCAAAGAACCTTCAGAAGGCATTGCTTATGAGTGGAGATACTTGGTAGAAAACCAATGTGAGTTCATTTTTAACTTATCTTTAAAACAAATGCGAGCTCTTTTTCTTATCTTTTCTACTAAATTCTTTGGGGGAAAAAAATGAAAAACATAATCAAGTAAAAGTGCATTGGATTTGCAGATGGAAATGGTGGCATGAAACCTGGTTCTTGTCCAAATCGCGCAGAATCATCTGCTATGGACAATAAGACTAAGTCCTTAGTCCTTATGAACTACTTTCCTGATGCCCCAGATTTTGCTCAAGCTTGCAAGCATAATTCAGCCCCACTTATTGACATGATGAACACATGCCATGAAGCTGCTGGTAAGAGGTGGCCTAACTTCATTTCTGTTGATTTTTACAAGGTATGCTTGTTGTTTGAACTGACTAATCTGTGAATTTAGTTGTAATAAGCCTTTATTCCTCTCTTCTGCTAACTTCACTGAACGTGGACTTTGCAGAGAAGTGATGGAGGTGGAGCCCCTGAAGCTGTAGACGTGGCAAATGGACATTTAGTCTGCGGATGTACAAACATTGCCTCTTGCAAGGTTTAAATGACCTATTAAACTATCTTCGTTTCCCCTAGTACACTTTGAAGCCATTGATAGTAATTTTAGGATTCAAAATATGGAACTTTGTGATCCAAGTCGTTAATTCAATTTGCAGGAGCACATGACTTATGGGATATGTGAGCTGCCTGAACCAAGCATTTCTCCAATAACACCAGCTGCTGCAGCTAAAAATGAAACGAGCTTTTCAAATATCAATTGCCAACCAAAGCTGCAATGGTTGTTGGGGACAGCATTAATGTCTTTTTTCTTGTTGTAAGTGAGTACCAAACAGCCTATCCAAGTTCAAATTTGTTTCACCAAGTAGTATGGATTAGATTTTACTGCAAGCATATGTCGTTATTTGTAGTAGGTCATTATGATAACAATCAGACAAATTAGGTAGCAGTAACATTTTGACTTCTTTCGGCGTGTAGAAAATTGGAGCTAAGGAGTTTGGATGGTGTGTGATCAGTCGTCACTATACTTTGTATCTTTCCTGTGGTAAGGCGGCGGATGTCAAGTGTTAACGTGAAGTTAGTTTAGCTTATGCCATGGGTATTTGGACATGAATAGAACAGGTTGGTGAAATTCTCTACTTTTAACTGACTGGTGCTTCAGTTTGTTTCGATTTGTCATTGCGAAAATGCAGGACATCGAAAATGATTCTACACTGGGGACCAAATAAGAACGAGAGGTAGAATGGGAGTCTAATCACAACCTTTTGCATACGCTGGGGACCAATTTGACAACTCAATTAAACCATATAAGATAGGGCTTGATTTGACGTCAAGAAAAGCAATGTTATAGGATGAGATTTTGCTGTTCACTTGTCTACTGCAGACAATATGTCCTTATACAACGTTGTCCTATTGAAATGATGTATATATTAGGACATCATACGCAGATAGATTAATATCATCTCCTATCAGATCATCAAGCCTAGCATAAGTTGCAGAGAGAATAAGATTAAAACTTAAATATGAATAGCCATTTCAATGTCGAAAATCTTATCCATCCTTTTCATAAAATAAACTGTCAAACTGGTCCCGAAGTCATGGGATGTGTTGTTATTTTATACCAATCAGTCCAATTTATTCCAAATCTATGGCATCCAGCGGCTAATGTCGATCATATGTTTTTCCAATTTTGAAAGAACACTTGACTTGTAAAGACCCTCTATTTCTAGATGGTTAGTTTGAACTTCACATATTTTGGAAAAAATGAGAAAAATACCAGGAATCTTGTCACGTGAAGACCAAATAGTTTTTGAGTGTAGGTTCCGAAAATACTCCTTTTTAAAGGTCCGTGCAAGTAACATCTTCTGGAATTTGAAGATACCTGATTTCTGTAAGACATCAGGACCAGATAAGAAGGGTGCTTAAGATGGGGAAATAAAAGCAACCTATCCCACACATTGATGCCCATTTTTGAGAATTTACTAGATTTAATCCAGATTTGGCAGAAAAAAAGAGTTTTCAAAGTTGGCCCATGTCTTTGTTAGGTATTTCAATGGAAAAGAAAACAATTTTTGAAGTAATGGAAGTTCTTTACTCAACAACAAAATGGAAATTGAAGACCCAAAAAAAAAGGCACTTAGTCAGTTACTCTTCAACCAGCAAGTAAACGTCTGGCACTTATGGGCTAAACGTCACTCTCAAAAATTAGAGTATGCTAGTGAAAATCCGTATACGATGTGTTTGAAATTATTCTATCAAGGGTTTTTTATCTTGAAGAATTAAGCAAAATAGTCGCTCACTCAACCGTTTAAATTTATAATAATTTGTGGATATATAATATGTGGATCAAGCATAATATACATATAATCTTGTGCAATTATTGTACATATAATTTTTTTATATATTTAGCGAGCAGATGTAGTTATTTTTGGACGACCGGCTAAATATGTAACTTGTCCGTCAGTATTCATCTAAATTTGCACGTTAAAGGTCTTAAATTCGGAGAATTGGGCTCAAGATCTTGGATCAGGCCAATAATTGTAGAACCACGCCCATCCAAATAAGACATACGACCCAACGAAAAATGAGCCAAGAGCATTGTCCTAAAGAAAACGATTCGTGCTCCTCTTAACCTCTATCATGAAATGCTAGTTGATAAATGATGAAAAGTGCATATTTTTGAGTATATTTGCATATTAATTCTTGTGTGTGTCGCGGGAGATTACATGATTTTCGAAGTGAAATATACTCATTATGTGTTTCTTATGTGTAGGAACGAGTTTGGATGATAAATGATCAAAAGATGACAATTCGACACAAAAAGAAGAAATTAAAGGAGTGGGAGCTCGTCTACTCTCGTGCGTGGCACGAATTCGGACGCGAAAAAGGAGAAAAATTAAGGCACAAAACAGCGAAGTGAAGCAAAGGCACGGAGCGCTTCGCGAAATGGAAGAATTTCAAAAGCTGCATCCGCGTCAAAGTCCGCTTCTAGACGCGAAGGCAGACGCGGATTCCAGCTCTCCCATCCGAAGTTGGATTGAAGAATTCCGCCCCTCATCAACCCTAGGTCATATAAATACATCCTAAAATACCACTTTGGAAGAAGAGGCACTACTTTAGGGTTAGACAACACCCTTGGAGGCAAGAACACGCTAGGAGCAAGGCGGGGAATTCTTCTACGAGTTTTTCCTTCCTCTTCCTATTTTTCATTGTTGGTTATGACTTTTAGTATTGTAGTTTTACATGCTATTATGAATAGCTAATTTGTTATCTAGGGTTTTGATGGAACCTTTTGTAGGATAAATTCTTGTTATTTTTATATAATTGAGTCGTAGTATTTTCTCTATTTGTTCAACTACGTGTTTGTTGTAGTTAATTGACAGGATCCTCAATTAGCTGTGCCTATTTAGTGTGCATAACTCGGGAGAGAGTGCATATTTAGGTAGTTGTTGAACAACATCACTCCCAAAGTATAAGAGGGATATATAACTGCGGGTTTAAAGGCGGGATTAGGGATAACGAAGCCTTGGGTGCAATCTAAAGTGAGCTGTAATAAACAAAGCCAACTAGCGTAACTCAGGAGAGTGCGTCTAGTAAATTGTGGTAATTACTCGGGAGAGAGTTACGACAGTCAGAGCGCTCATGATCGGTAGAGAATACTTAGGCGAATTTATAGAAAACGTAGCGGGAAGGATTCTGACAATTGGGAAAATCATAACTCTAGACCTTCTTAATCTCGACTCCAACCCTTATCCTTGTTAATTGATAGTTTTACGGCTTTCTAGATTTGTTAGTTAATTAGATAAAAAAATATTATAATCTTTATAATTAGAAAATTGTTTGGACTTGGGTTTCTTAGCGATATTGAACAACTATAGCTAAGCCTTAGTTCTCTGTGGGATTCGACTCCGGACTTGTAAACCGAATTATATTTGCAACGACCGCTTAGTCCTTTTTATAAGGCATAGTTGGGCGTGATCACTAGTCACTCTTCACTTTTCAAGAGTCTAATCAAGTGAATTTTCATTGACATTTTAAAATAAACATTTTCCTCCAATTTGATATGTATAAAACTGCAACATGTTGTACATATCTATTATTTTTTGAACAGTTAAATCAAAATTTAAAATGAATTAATTCTATAAGTACACACTTCACATAATGAATACTTATCCGCAACAGCTGTTTTATATTAAACAAATCATTTTAACTGACAGGCCACTTCTAATTGTGAAAGTGAGGTAAATTATAATCTCCAAAGTGCTTAAATTAAAAGCAAATTGTATTAAGTTAGGAAAAGGTTATCCTTTAAGGAATACAATACATAAGGTTAGTGGCTCAAGGCACCGTCAATGGCTGAAATATCACGAGTTTCAAAGTTTAATTTCTTAATTATATGTATTACCTGCAGGAAACTGAAGTAAAATTTTCTTCCTCTGAGCAAGGCTCAAAATTCGAAACTAATTAACACTTTTACTTGATTAATCCTGAAAAGTTAATTAGTAAGATATTAAGATGATCAGACTCTGTAGGTTGGTAGGGTGTAAATGCAATCCTGTGGGAGAATATGTTTCATGCATCGTGACATAACCAAAGAATATTCCTATTTTTATTCTAAAACTACTTTACTTTCATGTCTTATCTCTACAAAACATCCAAATTACATCCTCATGGTTTCTAATTAAATACATTTGATGGAGAAAGATGGGAATAAATAAGGAAAAGATTATTTAAAGAAGTGGGGCGAATGACTCGATATTGACTTTAATTAGCATCTTGTTCTGACCTAGTTAATAAAGTAGTAATAAGACATTTTTTGATTGGACAATAGTATTTACTCAATTATTTACTCAAACTCATGATACTGTGGTTTGAATTGTGATTTCTTAGTTACTTGAATTTTCTTCCGTTTTCCTTAGTATAGGGCCTTATTTACTTGTTATTGTTATTACGTTTCATCTATATTTTGGTTCTTATATCGTTGTTATTATTTCTATATTTTCTGTTGATGGTACGGATATATTTGTCTCTTTTCGTCTTCTAGAACCGAGGGTCCTTCGGAAACAGTCTCTCTACTCCCTCGGGGTAGGGGCAAGGTCTGCGTACTCACTACCCTCCTCACACTCCACTTGTGAGATTTCACTGGGTTGTTATAATGAAGTTTTACGATATTTGATGACCTAAAAGATGACTGCAAGTAATTATCAATAAAAAATAAAATTAGTAAACTGAAAATAAGATAGATCATAGCTACAATAGATTAAGATACACTAGTAGTGTGAAAATTATTTGCTCTATCCCCTATTTGTAAATATAAGTTAAATATAATGGTATTAAGAGAATAATAAAATTTAAGCACTTCACTAATGTATCTTAATAAAAAAGATGGCCAAGTTCAAACAAAAGATGGCAAGGTCATTTATCGCAAGAATACGAATTTTCGCATATTCTCCTCCTTTTTGCCACAAAATTTATACATATACATCAGAATAAACATCTCATATATCTCCACAACGATAGTATTCTAACATGATTGGACAAAAACAATATTATCCTTAGTACTAAAATTGCTGAATTGTTAGTTTACAAATACGTCACAAAGTGGGAATTATAGCTGCCCACACAATTCATAGTGGAGAAAGAATGTCTACATTCTAAAAATCCATGATTTTCCAAAACATATTCTTGATAATAACTATAGATTATGCGTATATTGTTACTGTTATTAGCATGTTGGATTTAATTATATGCTTGCTTTTAGGGCGCATGATTTGAGAAAGTTGAATGTTATAGTCAACTTGCAAATGAAGATTTTATAAATTCATGACATTGGGTTGCTTAGCCAGCAAAATTATCCCCACCTTTTTCGGAGCACAAATTTTAACACCAAATTATATTATAGTCTTTGCCCATTCTTAGATAGGTTTGACCACATGGCTTGCCCTAGTTTCACCTCAGTTTTTTCGAGGGAGTATCGATGTTGCTCGAAAAATAAAAAAATACTATTGAAAATGTGTTGAATTCTCCATTATTTTTTAGGACGATGTATTCAGGGGCGGTCCTTTCCTAAAGCACTGTTTTAAGCGTTATAAAAAAAGTTATGAGTGAAATTTTTTGATCTGTTTCTTTAACAAATATAGAGATGAAGAATTCGCAACTGATATAATTTTGCCAAGTAAATTGCATTTAAATGAATATTAAACTCGAATTTCGTAAGAAACGTGTGATATATAGAAAGAAACAATTTGATGAGAATGTTAATAATGACATCTCAAAATCTCTCGAAAAGTCTTTTAGAGTAGATTACTTTTTATACATAATGGACAAGACTATTTTTTCACTTCAAAATAGATTTGAATAATACGAAGCATATAAAAATATTTTTGATTTTCTATTTAGTGGTTAATAGCTGAGATCGCTAGATGATGGAAATTTAATAAAAATTACCTTAGTCTTGAATATTACTGGAAGCATAATAATCAATCCAATATAATGGTTTAGATTTATTTTTTGAATTAAAAGTATTATGGAAAATAAAAAATATTACATAATTTTTTTCATTTACTTTAGTTTTGATGGCCAGAATTACCTCATTAAGGTACGTGCAATGGCCCGACTAAGCGAAAAAAAAAGAGGTTTTTTCCTAT